TTCTTCTTCTTCTTCTTCTGCTGCTGCTGCTGCTGCTTCTCCTCCTCCTCCTCCTCCTCCTCCTCCTCCTCAACAACTGGTTTTTCTCCACCATCGCCTCTCCTCCAAACCACCTTTCTGATCTCTTTCAGGCTCCGACAATTCGTCCCACTGCAAACAACAGAACCCGCAAAGGTGAACTCCTTCTCCCTCCCTCATCCCTCGTCCTTAGTCCCTCGTCCTTCCTTCCTCCTTCCCTCCCCTCCTCCCTCCTCCCCATCATTGCCAACTGCAGCATGAGGAGCAGTAGTAGCTCGTCCTCGTCCTCGTCCTCGTCCTCGTCCTCGTCCTTGTCCTCGTCCTCGTCCTCGTCCTCGTCCTCGTCCTCGTCCTCCTCGTCCTCCTCGTCCTCCTCGTCCTCCTCGTCCTCCTCGTCCTCCTCGTCCTCCTCGTCCTCCTCGTCCTCCACCTCTACTCAAAAATCCAGACCTCATGTGCTCTGCAGCATTCATCAGAGATCCCCTCGGATCTTTCCGCTCCTCCATGAGCGGTGAGAACGAGATGGTGGGAGGGGAGGGAGGGAGGGGAAGGAGGGAGGGAGTCAAAGGAGGATCTGAAATCGCATCAGGGCCGTCAGGAGAAACTCCGGAAAGCAGGAAGGAGCTGGTGCAGGAGGAGGAGGAGGAGGAAGAGGAAGAGGTGTGAGCAAGGATCAAGACTTGAAAACTTTAATGTACATGGACGATGAAGATATTGATATAAAGAGGAAGAAGTGCAAGAAGGGGATGATGATGATGATGATGATGATGATGATGATGACGACGACGACGACGATGATGATGATGATGGAGATGATGATGATGGAGATGATGATGATGACAAGGAGGAGGGAGAAGAGAAGGAGGAGGAGGAGGAGGAGGAGGAGGAGGAGGCGCTTCAGCGGTGTAAGTGGGTGAAATTTCCCTTTCATGGGGTAATAAAATCTTCTCTATCTCACCTCGTTAAAATCGTTTCCTCCTCCTGTCCTCTTCCAATGTCCAAACCTCACGAGCTCATCACCTTCTCAATGAATGCCTTCACCTGCCACGAATTTCACCTCTCCTGTCCCCTCCCCTCCCCTCTCCTCCCCTCCCCTCCTCCTTCTTCGCCCTAAAAATATTTTCCTACCTTGTCAAGATCGTTGGGCACGAGCTTTGGAACTCTTTTTGAATACTCCTTGTAGCTCCTGCCAACCTTATCAAACCTCCTCTGCTCCTTTCCTCAGCCTCCTCCTCCTCCTCCTCCTCCTCCTCCTCGTCCTCCTCGTCCTCCTCGTCCTCCTCGTCCTCCTCCTCCTCTTACTCTCCGTGCTTCTGGATGAGGTAGCCTTCCTCCACATTGGCCTGGGGCCGAGTGAGAACACGAGGGTTAGGAGACATCTACATACCTTCTGATCGAGAATGAGGAGGAGAATGCTGGGGGTATATCGTCAGCTCCTCCGTTCTCCGTCCTCCCTCCCCCGTCCCCATCTCCGTCCTCCTTCTTAGACTGCTTCCCCCTCCTCCATCCCTCTCTCCCTGCTCCCTCCATCTCCTTGCCCCATCACCTTCCCCGCTCCTTGCTCCCTCTCCCTCTCCTCCTTCCCTCAGCGACTCTCCTATCTCACCCTACCCAACCCCCTCCAACCACATCCTCCAAGTAATCCTCCCTCCCTCGTCCGACCGCGTCCTTCCTCCTCCTCCTCCTCCTCCTCCTCCTCCTCCCTTGGCGGGAGCTCACATGGTGAAAAGCATCCTGCTGAAGGACACAGTTGTCATGGCTAGCCCGATGCAAGCAAGAATCAACCCTCCGTACATGGGATGCCTGCTGAGCTGTTATGATAGTAGAGACGAAGGAAGAAATGCATCCTACAAGAAATGCTGGATTGGGAGCAGGGGAAGGAAGAAGAGAAGAGCTAGAGGAGACAGGAGGAGGAGGAGGTGGAGGAGGAGGAGGAGGAGGAGGAGGACGAGGATGAGGATGGAACTGTTTGTGTTGAAATGGTCTTCACATAACTTCACCTGCAA